TTGTGTAATATTGTATTCAGGTAATGTGGAAAGGCATATTTTGAGCACCTGTTTTGTTGGCCTGTGATTTTGCTTCCATTTTGTTCGTGTGCCTAGGTTGGATATAATGGGCTTTGAGATTTGGGTGGATAGAGATGCCATTGCAGATGATTCATGATTTTTAAAATGAAAACACGGGTAACTTTTGGAAAAATTACATACACGACCCCTGTCTATAGATATTTACATATATACAACTCCTGCAAACATTAATCAAAAGAGGAATAAGAAGTGATTTTTGTTTCATTTGTACGAGATTCCGATTTCTCTCAGATCTGTTTTTCTCTCTATCATGCATGAAGACGCCGAAATTCATGCATGAAAAAGGGAAATTAATGAATTCAATATTTAGGAAGCTGTAAAGAAAAAAAATAAATATATAAAAAACCGACTTTTATGTTGACCTTGATTTTTTAAAGACATTCGTAAGTTTACAATTAAAGTGTTCCTTTTGTAATTGTGAGAAAAAGATTGAACTGGAATGTAAGGAGAATAAAATTCTCTAAACTTTTACTACATTTCAAACGGTATTGATATTTGTTTGTTTATTGATTTATTTATTTTGGGAATTTTACTGCAAATAAGAATCTCAATAGATTTTGTTTGTGAATATGCTGCCTTTTTTGGCCTGTATATTGACATAAATGTTGTTGGTTGAACTAACATTTGCACTCGTTACTTGTTTTTTGTCGAGTCGAGTTCGAACTTTAACGAGCCAATCTCGAACTTTAACGAGTCGAACTAGAAAAAATTATATAAAATTTTCTTTTTTCGAGCCATAACGAGCTCGACTCGGCTCGTTAATCAAACGAGCTTAAAATGAGTTTGAGTTTGGCTCATTAAGGCCTCGAGCCTTAACAAGTCGAGTCGAGCAAGACTCGTTTAGTTTAGCAACTATGTGGCCGTGTGATGTATGGAGAAACAATACTAGGATTGAATAAATGGATAATGAGTCTCATAGAAATGTTCCCCTACCCACGGTGGGCACATGTTAATATGCCCACCGCGTAGGTGACATCCACTCATTGGTAATGTTAATATTTTAAAAAAATACATTACCAATGAGTGCATGCCACCTACGCGGTGGACATATTAACATGTGCCCACCGTGGGTAGATGAACATTTCTCATGAGTCTCATATATTTGCATTTAAAGATTCAAGGAATGTAGGAGAGATGTTTAATTGAATAATAATATGAACACGACGTAGATGATAAAGATTGTAGTCAGTTATTAAATAAATGATATGGAATGTAAATATCCTTATTAAAAGTATGTCAAATGACTTCAAAATATTTTTCTATATAATTTAGTAATAAATAATTAATAAATATTTTTTATATTATATTTCGTCCATAGACGTGGACATAGGTCACCTGACCCGTTGAACTTCGGTTCAATCCGTTAACCACGGGTTGGAGCTTGTCCTGTAATTCTTTGATTGCTCGTGGTTTATTTTCGAGTAATAACTTTGGGAATTCCATAAAGATTATGATTGTCGTTAAATCGATTCCTTTTTTAATCTTTATACGGGCATTTCCTTCGACATTGAAGGATATTTTCAGATTCTTTTGTATATAATTTTTGATAAAATCTCTTACACAGGTTGGTTTAGGGTCATGTATATGTAACATGTGGTCCGACAAGCTAGACCGATCTGAAAAATCAACGGGTCAGATTGTTTTCAATTTTTTTTACAGGTTTCGAGTCGGAACTCGGTCCAGCCTGCCGAGTTGTGCAACCGGCTTGTATTGAGGTACAAGCTAATTCACGAGTGGTCATTTTGAACCCGGCAACCCGGACCGGTCTCGGCCGGAATTTGGTCATGTGCCGTAGTAGAATTTAAAATGGGCATTACTATTTACCGCCCTCCTTTTACTACTCACCGCCCCTTAATTACGTTTTTGCCCTTCACACTCTCTCTACTTTCTCTCTCTATTCTTTCCCTCTCGACTTTTTACGGCTCTTTTGACCGTCAAAAAATTTCAAAAAAATCCTAAAAAATACCATGACATCGACAAGACATTGAAGATTGACTATGTATTTTTTTTATATTTTTTTACTTTGTGAATAATTTTTTTTTTTTTCGCGTCCGGACGGACCGTCCGAACGCACCATGTGGTGTCCGGACGGACGGCCGGACGCACCATGGGGTGTCCGGCCGGACCGTCCGGACACACATTGTTGCGTCCGGACACCCCATGGTATGTCCGGTCCGTCCGTGCAGACACCCCATGGTGCGTCTGGAAGTTTCATCCAGAAGCGCGAAAAAGAAAAATAAAAAAAAAATATAAATTATTTACAAAGTAAAAAATATTAAAAAAATACATAGTCAATTTTCAATGTCTTGTTTATGTCATGATATTTTTTTCGGATTTTTTTGAAATTTTTCTGACGATAAAAAAAAACCGTAAAAAGTTGAGAGAGAAAAAGTAGAGAGATAAAGTAGAGAGATAATGTGAAAGGCAAAATTATAATTGGGGGCGGTGAGTAGAAAAATGAGGGCGTTAAATAGTGATTCACATTTAAAATTGAATGATTCAGCGTGCAGAACCCTAATTCGTCTGCCCTGTGCTCTTGTTTTGGCCTCTCTCCCTCTCTCTCTCTACAACGCGAACTTTCAAAACCGAACAAATGACGACGGCGGACGAAGGCGGAGCTACTTTCAATCCCACCTCCTCCGCCTACGGTGGTGGAGGAGCCGGAGGTAAGTTACGCAATAAGCCGTTTCGCAGACCAACGACGCCGTACGATCGCCCATTAACTGCGCTCAGAGGAAACAATGATAACAATCGCAGCTGGTTGAAAAAGCTGGTGGTAGAACCCGCCTCTAAGCTTATTTCCTATGGGGCGGACCGTCTTCTCGCACCGCTACTTCGGAAGCGCCTACCGCCGACTCCGCCTCCTCAGCCGCCAGGTTTATATATGTATTTGTAATTTACTTCCCGCAAAATATGTTCTTTAACTATGGTTCGTTATGCTGTAATTTCATAGGGCTGCTGTTCCGTTTATTTTCTTTTAGTTACCTTAATTTTGTTTGTTTATGCATTTTTTTTAATTATTCTTCCCTTTCTGATCTTGATTCAATCTGATTAGGGTAATTGGTGAATCTGCATGCCCATCTCTGAAGAACATGGAAATTATGTTCCTTTACTTGCATTGATTTCTTTAATTCAGGTTGTTTTTGCAATGAGAAATATTTAAGAAAAGAATTTACATCTTTGGTGAATTCGAGTTTGCTTTTCAAGCTCCCTACTGATTTACTGAAATCATGTATAGTTTGCATGTTTAAGGCTTTTTTTTTTGTTTGTAAATTTGTTTTATTGTTTTTATTATGAATATTGACAATGGAGTAAGTACAAGATATTTGTGAGATCTGCCTTGGTTGAATCTCGAGCACCTACTGCATTTCCACTCACTTCTTCACTATCTGTATCTTTTTAGTAAAAGTGATTAGATTTGAACCTAAACAGGATTCGGTCGGCCCTTTTAAAAGGACTTGGTAGCATGTTACCTGGCTGTTACGTGAATAACTAATGTTTTTTCTGGTTTTACCGTATTACTTGTTTAGTATGAGTATGCTGTGAAGTTGAAAATTTCCGAATTGCCATCGTTTTCTAGCGTACAATGTACATAACTTTCTATGTGGAGTATCTAATTACATGTCTCTTCTGTTGTAAATAGAGGCAAAAGCTGATGTTAAAGATGGGATTCAAGGGGCTGTTCTTAATGTAAGTTTGATTATTTGCATTTCCATGTTTTCAAACCATTCCTATTTTTATTTGTTATAGTTTATTTGTTGATAGAAAAAAAATCTATTCAATATATTGTCAAGCTTTATACTGATGCAATCACTTTGCATATGGATTCATTTAATATTAATTGATTATAATTATATATGGTTTTGGTGGAAGCTAAGGGGTGTCCGGAAGAAGTGTCAGATATCCTTTATCGGAAAGTGTTGCTTTGTGTAGAACATGTAACTTTATTGGAAAGTGTTGGGCAGTTGATACTATTGTAAACAAAATTACACACACACACACACACACACACACATATATATATATTATAGTATATATATACATTCTGTTCTGGGGGTGGGAGTTTATAATGAGGAGTTCCATGTTGGTTCAAGTGAACCATTTTGATACTGTCAATTGAAGCTAGTGGTATTAGATAGTGATTATGCACCCAGAGATATGTTGCATCACTTTCAAATTTTGTGAAGTTTTCAATTTCCTTCCAGCTAGTTTATTTTATTTCTCCTCATATTTAGGAATCTTTGAGTCTGATTGTATTGACTATTAATTCTCCATATATTTACTTCCCATGGAGGTGGAATGGATTAGATTAGGAGGCTGTTGTCTCTGTAGCCTGAATATAGGATAAAAACTTGTCGTTGTATGATGGTAAAAAGTCGGGTATGTTGAGTTTTAGTGGGGGTAGTTCTGTTAGTTATAGGCCACCAAAGCCTCACATTATGCCTTTTAATTTGACTCCCATTTGTTGGTCATCGGTAGATCTCTTGAGAGATGTACATGATGGATCAAACATGTATATCATGTAAAGGTCTTTCCATTTGGACTTACTGTAGTTGTGTAGGTGATACACTTATTTGTAGCTTGTATTTCTTAATATTTCTAGTAGCAGTATATTCCTTCTATGTAGAGAACATGTTGTCCCGGTGCATGAGTAAACCGTGCTTTAACTTTTTGCTTTTAGAGTCACGATGGACCCCAAGAACCTTTAGGTGGTGATTACAGTCAGCCAATCAATGATTCTAGCAGCAGTGACTTCTCTCAGCTCGAGCAATTAATGAAGCAAAGAACCTTCACCAGGTAAGGTTTCATAAGGATTGGGATTGGTTTAACTATTTGTCTTCTCCCCATCTGCTGAGTTATTATAGACACACATCTTTTTCCCCAAGCAGTGATACTATTCTTCTCTTAATATTCCAGTCTTGTCATTGATGATTTTCTGTCTTCTTTTTTCTTTTTCATTTTTGTAGAATTGTCATTGAGTATTTATCTCTTGGAATATTCCTTGTTTTTTTGGTAGGATAATATGAAATACATTTTTGTTCGTGCTGTGTATGTACATGTCTGACTTTCTTTGATCTTAGTTGAACATGTAATTATGCTGTCCAAAATTTTTTAGCATGATTTTGCTACTCAATGGAATTAACTTCTGTATACTTTCAAATGTGCTCTTCTTTGGGTAGGTTGATTATTAATAGGAAAATCTGTGGCTGCAGATCTGAAATTGTTCATTTGAGAAAACTGCTGCAATCAAGAGTTGCAGAAGTATCACTTGAGAATGTAGGACGAAGAAATGAAGATACTGCTTTAGATTATGCAAGGGATCAACAATTTGCGAGTGGGCTCTTGGAAGAAAACGGAAATGAGAGGAATAGGTCTTCCACTTTTATGTCTACTTCTTTTGTCAATTCAAAAGTAAGTATATGTTAGACGTGCATGCACACATGCGTCCCCTTTCACCATGGTGGTATTACTAGTCAATTGTTGTCTTGTAGTGTCTTCATACTGCCAGTGTGCCAGCATTACTTATATTACTGATGAAAAATGCCTCCAGGTTGTTGAGAATGATAATGCTTCACCTGCTGAAATTGCAAAAGCTTATATGGGAAGTAGGCCTTCGAAGGTATCGCCATCAGTACTAGCAATACGCAGTCGAGTTGGTAAGGGAGATGCAGGGTTGCTTAGTAGTTTGTCATCTGCCTCAGGGTCACCTATCATGGCATTGAATAAGAAGACCCATAACAGCATGGTTGCCCCTGATAATGGCTTCATAACTCCAAGATCACGTGGCAGATCGGCTATTTACAATATGGCTCGTACACCATACTCCAAAGTTCATCTAACTTCCAGCCTCAAGGTTCAAATTGTGTTATTTATATCTTTAAATGTGGCTTTGCACTTCTCTCTTAACGTGGTATTTTCATATTTGGTTACTTTCAGGGAAGTGGAATTAGTCGGAATGGTTATGCTGGACCTGGACCATCGACATCCTCATCTTTTCCTCCAGTAGACATTGATGAAAATTTTGACTCCCGCCCAACGGTATGTAATAAGGATCTTTGAAATTTTTACGCAACTGAAGAATATTTTGTTACTGTATGTTTTATCTCTTGAGGTTCTGATATTCATACATGTTTTATTCCAGAGCTTAAAACGAAGAGGCTCTGTCTTAGATGATGAACTTGGCTCCATTGGCCCCATAAGGAGAATTCGGCAAAAACCTAATCTGTTAGCTTCTGGACGTCATAATACTACTCCTGGAGTGGTAACTGGTTCTCATGCAAAGCAGAAGTTTCCATTGATCGACGAACAAAGCCATAAAGCATCCAAAGATGTTGGAGAAAATGAGAATGAAACTGTACCAATCCCAAGTTTTCCTCATGTTCCTTCCAAGTCTAGTGAGGTGGCTTCCAAAATATTGCAGCACCTTGAAAAGATGACCCCAAAGGAAAAATCATCAGAGCGCAAGTTAGTTGCTCGGAATGACAAATCTCCTTCGACATTGACAGCTAGTATGCTTTCTGGACAAGCTATCAAGAGTATAGCAGATGTGGATTCGTCAAAATTGTTGAATTTTCAGGAGGATCAGAAGTTGGGGGATGGGTCAAATGTCACTTTAGCTGATGCTCATAATTTCTGTAAGCAAAAGGAAGAAAAAGTAGTGGAAAATGGCCCTATAAAATATGTTCCCCCATTGGACAAGTGGTACCCTGCCTCCAATAATGATTCTGTGGTGTCCTTGAAAGCTTCTATGCCTAGTACCAGCGGTAGTGGTTCTTTGGTAAAAACTGGTGCATCTCATCCTCAAAAGAAGAGAGTTTTTAGGATGAGTGCTCAAGAGGTGATTTTTTTATTATTATTATTATATCATGTGTGAATGTGAGTGCTAGCTTGATGTGCCATATTTTTTCTGGTTTATACCATTTTTATGTTGTGCTGGCTGGCGGTTGACAGATTCTGTTATATAGTATTAGTCATCGTCGGCATATTCACCTGCCTTTACATGATCGTATGATTACAAAGTTCAAAGTCAGAAAAATTACAGAACAACCATTTCACGCTCAGTTTTGTATGATGGATCTTATAATCCTATTGATGTTTTGGCTTTTCTATCTTGGTAGGATCCTGAGCCGGATGATAATACATATTGTAATGGAACTGTATCAAGATCAATCTCTGAAAACAAAGGACCAATGGAAGATCCACTGCCAGATAGCCGTGCTACACTTTCTGAGGAACCCAAGCTGGTAAAACCGTCGATAAAGGCAGAAAACCAGTCAGTTTTGCCCCTAAACTCGCGGAATAAAAGTGCACCTAATTATGGTACTGTTGCACCTGGAGAAATGAGTACTATTGTTTCCTTGTCAACATCTGAAGAAACAAAGGAAGCTTCACAATCAGTTATTCCACTGTCAGTTGCTGAGAAACCTAATGCTCCATTGTTCAGCTTCAGCTCTAAAGTTGTTGAAAAGGTTGCTTCATTACCTTCTGGTTCCATCAGAGAGATGGATGCAACGATTAAAAGCCCCAGCTGGTTAGTCCTTGTAAATTTTGTTTTTTGTCTGAACAGTTCCACTTGCCGTGAGCTGCGGATATGAGGAATTTGGTTGTGCACCTTTTTACTAGATATAATAATATACTTTTGATCTTTACAGCATTTTGAAATCCCAAAATATCATTTTTGCATTTGCTATCTTGACTTAATAGAGGTAAATCTAGACTTCTTGGCTTGTTTGAGTACAGACTCCAATATACTTTATCTGAAAGCTAAACAGAAGAGTATGAAATATTACATATAAACTAATGATGGTGAAGCTTCATCTTGCAAACAATCTGCTATGAAGATTGACAGCTAGGAAAATAATTGTGTGTTTCTTGGGGCAACTATTGTGCCTTTCTGAATTAAATTCATTTAGATGTCAACATTACATAATGCATAGTTTTTAACATTAACTGTACAGCTTGGTCAACACTCCTCCAACTGGATCTGAAGTCAAAGATTCTGAGTCAGACAAAAGTTCTATGGACCCTTTCAAGGCTGGAGATGCAAATGGAAAATCAGACAACATTCCCTCAACGACATCAATACGACCATCTCCAGCGTCATTTACTACAACATCAGGTCTCTCTAACGACACAAATCAGATATTCAAGGGTGGTAATGCTTTACAGTTTGACTCTTCGACCAGTGGTGGCTGCACCAGCACCAGCACCAGCACCAGCACCCCTGCCGCCCCCATATTCGGACTGGCTGCAGCAAAACCTTCATTTCCAGCAAGTACCCCCGTTTTCAACTTTGGTGCGTCAGATCCAATTACTTCAGTTCCAGCAGCATCAACTACTAGAATCGCTCAATCAGAGTTGAATCCTAAAGCCAACGAAAGTGAGACCACTCCAAGTTCCCTCAACAGTGCAGCAGCTAGTTCCACAAGTGACAGCACCACTTTCGGACTTGGTTCGCCCTTCAGTTTGCCAGCCTCTCATACCTCGGTCTTTGCTAGCGCCATTAAATCACCCTTGGCAAGCTTGTTCTCAACTGCCTCGCAAGGCACTTCGTCCACTGCTCAGCCTGTTTCGACATTCAGCAGTAGTAGCACTAGCACCCCTTTCTGTTCCTCATCTATTTCCCAAGTTTCAAAACCTAGCAATAGTCCTATTGGAGTCAAGTTCGGTGCCAACACGACAGAAGCAAATGCGGTTAGCTCAACCTCTTCTACTCCTCCTATTCCTGGCATCTTTCCTTTTGGCCTCAGTTCTTCAACTAGCAGCATTGCGGACAGTTCTTCGGCACCCTCCTCTAGTGCTCCTAGCAACAGCAATCCCTTTGCAGCCAGTTTGCAAGGCCCGAAGCAGTCCCCAGTTTTTGGTTCCTCCAATACATTAACGTCTGGATTCTCGTTCGGGGCATTGCCATCATCATCCGCTCCTTCAACGAACGTTTTTAATTCATCGTCCTCATTCACTGCTTCCTTCTCGTTCCCCGCAGCCCCTTCATCGCCTGCGTCTGCTGTGTTTGGGGGTGTGAGTCAGGTGAATGCGGAGGACAGAATGGCTGAGGATCATCCCGTGCAGCAACAGCAGCTGCCGTTTGGTCAGCCAGGGGTGGCGGCGGCTACTCCCCCTGCTTTTGCATTCGGGCAGTTTGGGCAGCCCAGCCCATTTCTGTTCAGTGGACAGCAGCCGAATCAAATTGGAGTGGCCGCCGTGCCACAGAACCCTAATCCGTTTCAGGCATCGGCCAGTCTGGAGTTCAATGCAGGAGGGAGCTTCTCGTTGGGCAGTGGCGGTGGTGACAAGTCTGGTCGCAAGATTGTCAAGATCAGCAGAAGCAAGAATCGCAAGAAGTGAAGCGATCATCAAGCCTTTCTCTGTAATTGGCTATTTGGCTTATTTTTGGTTTTACATAATTTGTTTCTTTGGTATTCTAGCGAACTTTTGAGGAAGGCTAGTTCCGATTTTGGACATTGTTTGCTCCTTGTGTCGATTTTAACAATGATATTTGTGTATCTTGACATCGAGTATAATAGCGTTGTAATTGTGTTGCGCGTGTGTGTACCTTTGTGTAACATAATATGGGGGAAAGTTGATTCTCAAAGATGTACTGGTGTAGTTGTGTTGTACACTAAATGAGATTTGGGCTTCATTGTTATGGAAGGAGATAAATATCAGATTGATTTTTTTGTTTTTTTGTTTTAATGAAGTTGGGATTGTAAACTGTCAGTGTAGCTGCATAGCGGAAGGAGGAATGAATGTGTTGGTGGTTGATTGTAAGTTGTAACTGATTTACTAACTGAAAAGATGGCTGAAAGAACTTAGGGCATGATTGGTACGAAGGAATGACATGGGAATAAAACGATCATTCCTTCACTCATTCCCTATCCTATGATTGGTATACATTTTTTAAAGGAATGACTATTCAATGGGAATGACAAAACCCATCTCCATGGGATTAGCCATTCCTTAGTTCATGGAAGGTTTTCTCATTCCCATTTGTGTATGAATCAATTTTTCAAAAAATAAAATTAACAAAAAATAATAAAAAAATAAATATATAATATATATTATAAATCATGATTAAAATATATTAAATAAAATTATTTTAAAAAATAAAATTCAAATAAAAAATTGGAAACTTACTTTTATTTATTGTTTAATTAGATATATTAAATACTTATATAAAAATAAAACCAAAAACAAAACATTTATATATAATTTAAATATATTATTTTATTTTTATATATTATTAAAATATATTATTTTTTATATATAAAAAATATATTACTTTTAAAAATATATTAATTAAAAATATAGTATTAAAAAATATAAAAATATATTAATTTTTATTTTTATATATTATTTTAAAAAATAAAATTCAAATAAGAAATTCAAAACTTACTTTTATTTATTGTTTAATTAAAAAATAAAAATATATATTATAAAATATATTATTTCTTATAGTTCAAAATATATTACTTTTAAGAATATATTATTTTTATATATAATTTCAAAATATATTATTTTATTTTTTAAAAAATATAATATTTTTTATATTACTAAAAATATATTATTTGATTTTTATATATTATGTTATTTGTACATATTATTAAAAAATCATTTATATATAATTTATTAAAAATATAATATTTATTAAAAAAACCTTTTATTTATTTTTATAATAAAAAATGATAATGTTATTCCATTCAAGTCTTATTCCTTCTGCATACCAAACGCATCAATGACAAACTTGTTTCATTCCATTCCCATAATCATTCCATTCTTTTGTTCATTCCATTCCTACGAAATTTCATTCCAGTATACCAATCATGCCATTATACCTCGAGTGTTTGTGAAGCTGGTTGCTCTTCATGTTCGAATAAGAATTCTACTTTTATTAATTGAGCCGAGTTTAAATAAAAAATTAGGCTTGTTTAATCGTTGAACGAACACAAGCTTGTTCGTGAACGTTTGATAATAGTCATGAGCACTAATTAAAAAAAAATAACTAGTGCATAGTTCGTGTGATACAATATTAAATAATAATTGTTTTAGTTGGTCAATATGATAATTTTCTTGAATTACCTAGTTGGATAATTGACTAGTTGATCAATGGCAGATTGGCAGTGGGCCGCTTAAACCTCAAACAGAAGCTAAAGTTAGCCCGATTATCTGAGGCGCAACCGAATTTTCTCATTATTTTAAACCTCAAAACCTTGTTAAACCCTCTTTGGAGCTGCGGCTGCAAGAGGAACAGAAAACCAGCAGAAGAAACTCGAAATCATGTTGAGGAAGGCGCTAAAGTGCGCCGGTGGCTCACTTTTACAGCCGTGGCGCACGATAACATCCCCCCGCTCGTCGTCCACCGCTTCATACACAGTGAACTCCATGATCCTCCGTTCCCTGAAAGATCACTACCTCGAAGTCTCCAAGATGACCCCTCCACCTGTAATGAATTCCCCCATCTCTCGTTTCTTTTTTCGGGGTTAATTTTTCTTTGTCTTTTTGCTCTGTCTACTTAAGCATGGTGTGGATTGAACATTGAAGCTTAATCGTTTGGAAGTGTTCAGTGTCCTTTTTGTTAAGAGTTTTCCAGGGTTTATTTGACTCAAATTTTTCTGTCTTTTGCGCGGCTTCGTATTTCCAAGTGTTAAAGATGAATTTGTAGCGAAACGCTTAGTTTTTGATGGTCAAGTATGGGTACATATGATAAAATCTGTGTACTTGTTTTTACTGTCAATGGTATTGGGCTCTCTACTGATCGGGGATGTCGTTTTTCTCTCTTTGTGCTTCTATTGCCTTTCAGTCCAAGCAAAAAACATGTTTATCTTCTTGTTTTCTCAGTATTCGGGCGACTAACGCCTTGTAGACGCATCAGGCGAATATTAGGTTATTGATACGAAGGAGATGGGTGCTTGTGTTAGCATGCTTGCAACTTGCAGAGCGTGCCATTCTGGATTATATTGTTTATTTGACCAAGTTTCCTGCTTATTTCATATCTAGATTTTTGTTGCACTTTCACAGAGTTGGAGTTTTTACCACAGACACCAGTTCTCAGTGACAGATTTAGGATAAATCAGAATGTATGGACACTTGTTGACCTAAGTGCTGTTATATGCCACATTGAAATTGTGTGATAACTGATATTCGGTTGATTATTTCAGTTCCTCACTAGTTGTTTAGTGTATTTTACTTGTCTCCCACTATATCTATTGATACTTCCGTATGGAACACTAATCATCAATTCCAATGATCTTTGTGATGCATATAATGATGTCTAATGGGAAACTCTTGGTATCTTGTGACTTACCTTTCGTGTATAATCCTTTTTTTTTTTTTTTTCTCACAGAAAATTAGCCCCCCTTCTCCGTACACAGTTGTAAAGGGGGCACTCGATAGTGGGGGTCCTGTTCTAAGGCGGATGTTTCAGGATGAGGAGATCAATATATCAGTAATGAGAATGGTTGACATTATCCCTGGAGGTTCTGGAGAGGACTATGGTGCAGACAGTGTTAACCAGTTATTTGTTTACGTTGATATTTCTAAGCCACAGCTCAAAGAGTCTTTGCATTTTCTTTGTGGCTTGTATCCTGATGCTCTGGGGATTCATTCGGTTTCACTGAGGCCAAAGACAGAGTCTTCAGGGTTTGTGGTGGCTTCAAGCAAATACAATGGTCCTGTTTTTGAGTAAGTAAATTTGTCTGCCTGTGAGTTAAAAAATACAGCTACACACTATTCCACCCTTGTCTTGATAAAAGAGACAGAAAATAATTTTGATACCAATTATTTTTATTTTTTTCTGTTTTTCTGTCTCTTTTATCAAGATAAGGGTGTCATAGTGTGTAGCTGGATTTTTGTCTGCCTGTCTCTTTTACTTATAAGTACTGTGTGAAAATTTGAGGAATTTTTACTTATAAGTATTGTGTGAAAATTGAGGAAGGAGACTGAATTGGTTACATTGAGCCCTACAAAATTTAATCTGCTTTTGAATATACTGCTGGTTTTTTGTACAGCTTTGTTTTGATGTATAGCTTTTGATATTCTTTATGCTATTAGAAATTATGCGAGACTTTCATTAGAAATGAGTTATGGTATATTGTAGTGTATATTGTAATGAATAGTTGTGACTAATACTTTATGTTTTCTAATATAATGTCTATAGAACTGTGTCATTTATATGTTCCACAGAAAAGACTTCGAACAATTTTATCTTTGCTGCTACCCTCTTAGACCAATGATTTGCTATCACAAGAAAATAGCGTGGATTGATGAAACTAAATGGAGGAGTCTAAACCCCAATTTTAATTGGGTCGGTTCCCATATAAAATATGCAAACTAGGTAGTCAGTTCAATCAGTTGGAAGTGCTAGTCAAGATGATGATTATACAGCTAGTATATCCTTTGAGAGGTAATGTGAAAGAGAATTTACCAGCAGCAGGAGGAGCCTTGGTCTGTTTTTTTTTCGTTTTTTTTTGGTGGCTTAGATTATTTCATCTAGTTCTCCATACTTAGAGTGGAAAGCAGAAGAGCTAAAGTTAACATCAGTTCATTTCTGAATTCTGATAACAGAATTATTGACAGTAAGGTCATCACACCCTTGTATAAGAAAATTTTATCATTTCATGAGGTACAAAAGTTTATGTACTTATCTACTGAAAGTACATCTACACCGCTTTTGGGCATATGAGTACTTGGTTTAATGAAAGTTTTACTTTAGAACGGAACAAAAGTTTATGAAAGAGCCCCTGCTACTTTTATATGTTTAACCTCACACATTTGACTTGTGATTTAAATTCATCTACTTGTATGAATGGATAGGTCTACTCCCTTAGTTTGTCAGACAAGTTATCTATCTTGGAAGCATTCTGGGATACTTTATTGTGGCATAGACATCACAATTCACTCAAGTTCTGTGCAAGGTATGTTACACCCAAACTCTGCTGATTTGGGTAACGACTTGTAGGAAAACCCATATCCCAAAGACCCATGGTACGGTGCCGACACATAGCTATGAGTGTACATCAGCTTGGACAAAGACGCCACCTCCCAAGTCGATCTCCTCCTTTTTGCACTTTTCGCACTCTTGGGGCTCCTACGTCACCATATAACACAGAAAGTTACCTCCTCACGTCGGGTAGAAGCAAACAAAACATCTTTCATCCGATCTTGGCTAAATACTGATGTGAAAATGGTTGCCGCCCAAAGAGATTAGCCGCTTGAGCAAGTTGTGGGGGACACGTTGCTCTGTGGAAGTCCGCCATGTATGATATGTTTTAAAAGTCTTCCCCTTCTATATGGCAATGGCAACATGTCCTGTGGCTTAGAAGGAGACACCCGAAAATAGATCCACAAATAGTTACATCAACCTCTATTGTGGTAATATTTAAAACTCATTTTGAGAATTCAACTTCTCATTTCTAATTAACAACAACAAGCCGTTTAATCCACCAAGTGGGGTCGGCTATATGGATCACAATGTTGCCATCTTGCTTCATCAGAACACATATCTTCATCCTTCTAAGTTTTCTTAGGTTACCCATTCCCCTTTTAATTTGCGTTCTTGATCGTAATGTTTCTACCCTTCTAATCGGGACCTCGAAATCTTCCCTACAAGTATGCCCCAACCATCTCAATCAACCTAAAGTTACACATTGAAAAAATTTTACAGTCTTTCTCTAAATAAAACCTTTACAAGAGATAAGTCTAGAAGTCAAACGAGACATAATCAAGCCATATGTATGGCTATCCTTAAAATCATCACATCATCAGATCGACCCGATCTTACCAAGGATAAACACTCAGCCTTATCTTTAAAGGCGTGCTTTCTCAGTTTCTCTCACCGTTGTGGTCGCCTCCTTCCGAACCCAGACGTTTTATTTCTTAGCACGCATTCCCAAAAACATGGTCGCAACCGAATGACTCACTCCTTAGTAGCCCCGCCATAAGCAGAGGAGTCCACCTCGATGACCTCGGCCTCATGCAACCCCGAGTTCCACTGTGTGTTAGGCTTGATACACAAATCAGATTCCGCCATCTTTATAGGGCTGGGCATAGTCGCTCACACTTCACTTCTGATTCCAGGACCTCCATAAGGGTGACTTCACGCCCTTCATGTACCTTTAACGCCCCACTTTTTCATACCTTGAATTTTGTAGAATAAATTTTTCTTTTTCTTAAAATCATATGAAAGCTCAAGGGCGCTACTACTTGTAAACTTTACATAACTTTGATAAACTTAAAATCGTACTATTCATAATAGTCTTGCATAGACATCGCATACTTAACTTGCATAGAATAAACTTCATCATGAAACATTTGAACTTAGCATTGTCTTCAAATAACTTAAGTGCTAATTCAACCCATAAACTTTGAAAGATAATGAATTACTTAAAACATATTAACTTTGCGGAAGTGATTTCATTAAACTATTTGACCACCCTCGCCATCGCTCCATTGCCAGCTCGCCAATTTTTTTCTTGTGATTGAAAATCCTCTTATGGCCCTCTCTCATTTATTTCCACTTACTCAGTGAGGAATCCTTCCAAGTTAACATCCTAACCAACTATCATGCATGAAATCGTTATGTATACTCAACATAATCATGAGCTCTATAAGAGCTGTTGCTCACAAGTCGAAAGACTTTCTTGCTTTTACAACCCTATTAGGCACCTAAACTTTAGAGTCATAGCACGCACGTGAGTACACTATCGTCACACTCCCACCCCTCATCAAACTCCGTATACCACTTTATGGTGGTGGGAGAACATTGGCTCTCGCAAATGGCACGACCAACTAGGCTTGATTAGTGTACCTCCCATGGGGTTGAAGGAAGACAACCCTCAACATAGGCTCTGTACGGTCTTATCGACGGGGACAACCGTTCGAAGAGTGCACCAACGAAGGTTACATGCACGCACTTACACGCTCTAACCCTAGCACCTAGCCACGCTCTAGTGTTATAGCCCGTGAACCTCAGTACTTGCAACAAACGACTTCGTTGCAAACGACTTGCTCGAATGTTGGAACATTTTATAAATATGGATACTATGCAAGCTACTTAACTTCATTCAAAACATAGATAATCAAGAAGGATAAATAACGTAGAACTTTCTCCACCTTTTCGGAATGCTCGACTAGGCTTAATTTGGAAGAAAAATTGCCAGGGCTCGACTCCTCGATAACGTTCTCGGGAAAATAGAATAAACTCAAAAAGGATGAAGGCTCGGGCTCGGCTGGCTCTCGCGTGAGGATGTGCGAGAGGCTGCCGAGTATAGCTCGGCCGTGGGGAAATCTCGCGCGAGAGAAAAGAAACGCGACTCTTCTTTTTTTCCTTTTTGATCTTGAACGAAGGGAAAAATATAATCTCAGGGAGGGTATATATATATAATGGTAGGGTTCAGAAGACTTGGTATTAGTTTAGGATTCTTAAATTGGTTAGGAAAAGGATTTGTTTGCTTGGTAAGGAAGTAAAATATATGGAAAATGTCTAGAATAATCTCTCTATTCTTGCAATTTCTCACGTGAAAAACAATGAGGGGGCTGAATATTTGTGCTCAAAATATCTATGATTAATGCTCCTTATTAACTGCTAAGGTTCTAATTAATTAATTTTGATTAAAGAGATTTAATTAAATAGATGAGGACATCTACTTAATTCCTTATATATAATGATTATATAATTATATAAGTGAGGACACTTACTTAATCATTTACATAATAAAAATATGTCGAGCTCACAATAAATGAAATAAGAATAACATTATCATTAATAAAATCATAAATAATCATGAAAAATACTTAATATGCTTAAAATGAACGACACGAGTTCGGTCGTCACATTCTACCCTCCTTAAAAATTTTCCGTCCCTGGAAAAAGTTTTTATTCCTAAAGTTGATCAAACTTATTCTTTTATGACAACCCTAGTTACTACTTTGGGTTGAGGGCGGAGTAAAGAGACCCTCATCTGTCGACTCACTATCAACGTCTCTCCGGTCGACTCTTCTCTGATTTCCAACGGTATCTTCTTTTTTCCCACAGACGATCGTCAGGAGCTCTATGTAGAATCTGTTGGCATCAGCCTTTCATGCCATTGGTAATGCAGTGAGTAGCTTCTTGCAGTCTTCCAGTGGGACAGTGCATCATTCTTAATCCTTTTGTCCTTTCCCATCTTCCTTGTCTCCTCCCACAAGTCCGTCCGAGTGCATCATTCTTAATCCTTTTGTCCTTTCCCATCTTCCTTGTCTCCTCTCACAAGTCCAATATCTTCTGAATGTTCGCTCAGACCGTCTACTTATAATCATAGCCATACCGTCTACTTTTTTTACGTCTTGGTTACTCACACCAGACCCCTGGACCTAGCACGGTTTGCGTAACTCGGATGTTCACCATCTAGTTAACAGAACGACATTACATACATATTTACATAGAACATTTAAACAATAATCATACTGCTAATCCATAAGAAAAATTATTCCACAATTCCACAATCTAACCAATGTGAAAATAAAATAAAAACAAACATCCCAATGAAAACAAAAGCAATAGTTCAAAAATCCAATTCAAAAGAAAAACAATCCAGACGGCGAAAAGGCAATCATACCGGCTCCTTCTTCGAGACTTCCTAATTCCCAGCCAACATGTAGACTCCTGCGGGACCTCCTTTCCCAAGTCTCCATTGTCTTGCCGGAGGC